CCCCCGGTCCCCCCCCCCCATCACCCCCCCCGGCCCCCACCATCCCCCGGTAACCCACCCTTGGCCCTTCGGCCTTTTTCTCAGTCCTGCCTACAACCCATCACCTATCTCAGTCCCTGGGGCACTAGAAAGAGGAAGGGTCCTCACCGTGGCACAGGCCCAACCGCAGACTAGAGACGACGCTTTCCTGAGTCTTGAAGCGTAAAGGGCCAGACTCTCATCCCCTCCGTCCCCCACCATCCCCCGGTAACCCACCCTTGGCCCTTCGGCCCCTTTCTCAGTCCTGCCTACAACCCATCACCTATCTCAGTTCCTGGGGCACTAGAAAGAGGAAGGGTCCTCACCGTGGCACAGGCCCAACTGCAGACTAGAGACGACGCTTTCCTGAGTCTTGAAGCGTAAAGATGGCCAGACTCTGGGCGGACGCTCTTTGACAGTCTCAGACGCTGTGCTGACCCACAACTAGGTAGGATTTTCTGAGGCCCGCACCGACGCCTGCGCCTGCGCCTGCGCCTGGCGAGGGCCGCCGCGTGTTGCGCGCATGCGCCTAGGGCCCAGTGATCTTTGGTTCGGACTCCGGCAGAAATTCTGCCCGCGACTTCTTCGTTCCGCCCCGCTGCATCTGGGCAACCAGGCTTGAATGCCTGTGCGTCGCGGTTTCGTTCCCGCCGGCCCAGAGGCTGTGAGCCGCGGGTGCCCACAGCGTCTGCGGCGGAAGTAGTTTAGGAAGTATTTCCTTTTCACCTCCCAGGTTAAACGCTAAGCGGTGAGGTCCTGAGATCAGGTTCCGGTTCCTACCCTTCGCTGGGCCCTGGGTCTGGTTCTCCGACCCTGCAGTCCCTCCGCCCTCGGCAGCCCCTTCAATCCCCGGGCAAAACCCTTCCCGACTACCTTGCCTCCCCTCCACCCTCAGCAGCCACCCCGCCCGCGGCAGCCCCTCGGTCCCTAGCAGCCCCGCACCCCATGGACGCGGAGCCTGGCCCAGGATGGACAGGGAGACGCGAGTGTTCGCAGAGAACCACTTTCGAGGCCTCCGGGGGCGTCTCCCCAGCAGGGTCTACCCACCCCTGGACCGTGTGGACTTTATCGAGAAGCCAGACTCCTTTACCTACGCTGACTTCTTCAAGGGTTACCTGCTCCCCAACGTGCCCTGTGTTTTCTCCAGCGCCTTCACCGAGGGCTGGGGCTGCAGGAAGCACTGGGTGACACCCAGTGGGAAGCCCGACTTCGATTATCTGCTTCAGAATTACGGTAAGGACTGGGCGCGATGGCCCGGGCCGGACACCAGGGAACACGAGCACGGGGCTAGGGCAGGATCCTCTGACTCTTGCCCTGCCGAATTCCCTTGGGTCAGACTACAAGAGGACGCAAACAAGGGGAGCCACTGAGGGTGTGGGGGGAGGCCGAGCATGAGTGGATTCTTAGAATAATTCATGCGAGTCGTGTAGCAATAAGCTGGAGGGTGGACAGGATCAGAGAAAATGGGCAAGCTGGAGGACGCTCAGGACAGCCTGTGCCTGACCTTTCCCTTTCAGGAGATGTGGTTGTACCTGTTGCCAACTGTGGGATCCAGGAATACAACTCGAACCCCAAAGAACACATGCCCCTCAGAGACTACATCAGCTACTGGAAAGAGTTCATCCAGGGAGACTACTCCTCTCCCCGGGGCTGTCTCTACCTCAAAGACTGGCACCTGTGCAGGTAAAGGCAGCCCAGTTTCAGAAAGTGTGATTCAGGTGGTGCATTTAGAACCCAACCCAGCCAGAGTCTGAAATCTGGGAGCTGGGACGGGAGGGGCCCAGAGCGCCTGAGTTGCTGCCTACATGGGTCATCTAGGTCCTGTCACAGCACCCTACAGCCATGTCATCTGCTTACGACTCTGGTTCAGTCACTTGAGCGAGCTCAGCTGGGGTCACTGGGGGCTGTTGTCATCCGGTGGCCGGACTAAGTTGGGTGGTCTGAGGTGGCTTCAGTCAGCCCGGTGGTTGGTGCTGGCTCTGAAAGGCAGCTCAGGGTCCCTCACGTTGATGACCACATTGGGCATGGGTGCACAGAGGTGGCAGCATCCTCCTGCTGCTTGATCTCTCAAGGGACTTCTCTGCTGATGGCGTGTTCACCCTGCCCGTGTACTTCTCATCCGACTGGCTCAACGAGTACTGGGACTTCCTGGACGTGGATGACTACCGCTTCATCTACATGGGGCCCACCGGCACCTGGTAACTGCGTGTCTGCTCCCACCCTCTGTCTCGCATCTTGTTCCCCATCACTCTCCCGAACCATGTCGGCGCTCTCACAGAGCCTCCGGGATATCCCCTTAGCCAGGCCATGGCATAGGCTGCCAGGTCTGGCATTTCCAAGCCCACTTCCACTCTCTCCATTGCTCAGCTCAGGGCCAGTGCACCCCCTGCTGGCCGTCCTGGGGCCAGGAGGCCTGGCTCGCCCCCTTGGCTAAAAGGCAGGTGTGAGAGCTGGGGACCTCAGGCCAGCTTGTTTGGAAAAAGCAAAGCCATAAGGCACCAACAGAGGCTCTTGCACAGGTCGCCGTTCCATGCCGACATCTTCCGCTCCTTCAGCTGGTCTGTCAACATCTGTGGGAGGAAAAAGTGGTTATTCTTCCCACCAGGACAAGAAGAAGCCCTGCGGGACTGCCACGGTAGCCTGCCCTATGACGTGACCACCCCTGCACTCCTGGACAGCCACCTGCACCCCATGCACCAGCACTGCAGCCCGCCGCTGGAGGTCACACAGGAGGCAGGCGAGATGGTGTTCGTGCCCAGCGGGTGGCACCACCAAGTCCACAACCTGGTAGAGTGGGCACTCCCTCTCCCACGTGCCTGCCACACAGGCCAGGCAGGCAGGGAGACAAGCCGTGGGGTGCCACTGGGCTGGCCCTGACTCCCTTCCAGCTGTGCCCCTTGGCATGCCCCAGTACCTTCCCAGATGCTTCCCGCAGAGGGAGGGCTGTCCCACTCCTCCAATGCCACAGTGGACAGGTCATCCCTTTGGGAGAGCCCAGGCATTGTACGTGGCAAGGCTGATCTCAGGTGTGGGCATGTTTGCACCTGCACACAGCACTGCTCGGGACCCCCAGCCCACACTCCTTCCCACGTTGCCCTCCTGGTTCTCACAGAGTGGAGTCGTCCCAGGCCCTCAGGGTCCCACTCTGGGTTAGCTATGGATGCAGAGGATATCAGTGCCGGTTCCCTCTCCCTGCTGATCCCTGCGGGGAGAAGAGAATGGCCCTTCCCAACAGGAGGGCTGGGAGGACCTCAGGACGTGGGAGAGGACAGTGCCCACTGTGGGGTCATGAGGACAGCCTGCAATTTGCTCCTTTTAGGACGACACTATCTCCATCAACCACAACTGGGTCAATGGCTGTAACGTGGCCAACATGTGGCATTTCCTGCAACAGGAGCTCTGTGCCGTACAACAGGAAGTCAGCGAGTGGAGGGACTCCATGCCTGACTGGCACAACCACTGCCAGGTGGGGTGTCTGGCCTGGTCAGGATGGCGACAGGGCTGCAGTTCGGGGAGGTTATGGGGCGGCTGCCAGCCCTGTCCATGCGAAGGCCAGTCTGGGGCTGGAACAGATCAGAGGGCTTCCAGGTCTCAGGGCTCAGACCTGTCTGTCTATCACTTGCTGGCCCCTAAGTGTCTGTCTCCATCCTCAAGACCAAGCCACAGCTAGGGGGTCCTTTGCAGCTGGGACTGCCCACAATCAGCAGATGTTTGCCTGGTGGCTCACCAGCCGCTCCTCTCTGGCCCAGGTCATCATGAGATCCTGCTCCGGAATCAACTTCGAAGAATTTTACCATTTCCTCAAGGTCATCGCCAAAAGGAGGCTCCTGGTCCTAGCGAAAGAGGCAAGCCCTGGCGAGGCAGAGAGCGGCGAAGATGCTGGCCTGGGCCCCCAGCAGGCTACCTTTGATGTCGGCCGGATTGCTGAGGTGCTGGCGTCTGTGGTGGTCCACCCTGACTTCCAGAGACTGGACACCAGTGAGTTCTCACCACAGCCAGAGGATCTCCTACAGCAGCTGGAGGAGGTTGTGGCCGCCACCACATCCCTTTAGTGCATGCTATGAGGGTCACGTGACATGTCCTGGCGTGGAAGGCATTCGCCCTGCTCTAGGGTCACTTCCAGAAATAAAGCTCCATCCTCCTGGGTGGCCTGGGACATATGATCTCCCCGCTGAGCCTTATTGCCTTGGCCTTCCAGGTCCAATTTCTGCTCTTAAAGGTCTGGTACTGTCCTGGCTATCTGTTGGCATCCTAAGACCTCAGTGCCGGTTCAGAGGGTTCAGGTTCTCTGTCCTCATGAGGCCCAGCAGGACCGGGGACTCGGATCCAGTGAGGGAGTGAGTGGGGAGTTGGTGGTACCTCAGACTTGCGGCCAGAAGGCTGATAGTTTGCTGGAGCAAGCCCCTCTGTAGGATGGGGACACATGCACAGGGCTTGTCTCTTTTCCATGCTAGAAGCACTGTTTCAGTAGAGCCCTCCTTTCTGCCACTGCCCTATGGGCCCCCGGCAAGGTCCTGGGTCAGAGAGGTGAGTACTCCAGGCCAGGCACCGTAATCAGGACACTCAGGGCCCTGCTGGCAGTAAGTGGCAAGGCAGAGCCCTGGTGCATTCGTCTCCCTCCTGCTTGCTGCAGCCCTGCCTTCTTCAGAGACCCCAGGGCCACCCCTGCACCTCTCAGCCAGCAGTGAGAGGGCCCCGCCCAGGGTCCACCCACAGGTCATCTGGTACCTGGGCCTCTTCCACACCTCACACACCTGTTTTACACCATCCACCTTCTACTTGGTGCACACCTTCTCTTTGCCACCCAGAGTCACTTTGCAAACAGTAATTCAGCAGCCCTTCTGCACACTACACCTTTCCTTCCGACTCCCAAACCTTGCATAACTCTTGCGCCAAGCAAATCAAATGTTACACACTTTGGTATTTTATTCTTCACACGTGTCTGCGCCATCCAGGTTCCACTGCACACCTATGTGCCACTTACTCAGTAGTCACTGTGTTAGGGTTCTCCAGGGAAATGGAGCCACCCAGATGTGTAAGAGATGATGGGGCATTGAGCATGGAGTCTGCAGGGCGGGCTGGAGACCCAGGGAAGAATGGATGCAGTCTTGGGTCCAACGGCTGGACTCAGGTGAGATTTCTTTGTTGCATTCTGGAGGCGGAGTTGCTTCTTTGTAAACCTTGTAAACCTTTGTAAATCCTTGCTTGTAAGGCTTCAGCTGATTGGACGAGGACCCCCCGCATTATGGAAAGTCATCTGCTTCACTCAGAGTCTACTGGTTTAAATGCTAATCTCATCTAAGAAGCACCTTCACTGCAACATCCACACTGGTGTTTGACCAAATAACACCACGGCCTGGCCACATTGGCACATAAACTTGACCAACATAATCACTCTACGCTTTTCCACTGGGATTCAGCAACCACTTCCTCTAGGCCCACTCCAACACTCAGTAGTATCCCCTTGCACAGTCAGTTGCCATGGCAATCCAGTGATGCCCATGAGGTACCCACCAGCCCCACCCATTGTCCACACCTGTCCCCCTCACTGCCATTTCTCTGCACACTTCCCTGAGTCTTTTTCGATCACTATGTTTTCACACACTATGGCTATACTCTGCACACTCCCTGCGTTATTCAGTGACCTCCCTTTGCACACTCATTCTGTACCAATTGATTTCTATTTGCATACCCAGTCTGCCGTTTAATAACTCCTTGCACATTTGCTGTGTGTAATTCAAAAGGCAATGTCTTGTTCTCCACTCAGCGTCACACTGCACTCCCATTGTTTGCCATCCAGTCACCTTTTACACACCATATGCAACAACAACCAGTCTGTGGGCAGTTAGCTCCATCCAGATTGCATCCAGCAATGCTTTTCTGCAGCATTTAAGATGCTCCTCCCACGCCCACTGCCAGCTTTTGCTTCTCATACCCATGTGTGCAGTTCAATAATTGCCTGCACACACCCTGTGCAGGAGCCACTGAACACTTCCGGGGCAGGTTACCAGACACTCTTCAGCTTCCAGCTCCCCCATCCTGCACAGCCACTATGTGCCATTTGACAGTGCTTGCACACTTACTGTGCAAATCAACAACCACTCTGCACACGTGTCAGTTCGGTCTTGCACATTACCTCTGCACCATCTGAGTCCCCCTAAGTTGTGAATTATCAACTCCACAATCACTGGTTCAACAACTGCTTGCTTCATTATGTTCTCTCCCATATCTGCTTCTTGCACACCTACTCCCATCCAACAATGTCTCCTGGCACAGTCGCTCTGGGCTCAGCAGAGGTGACACTTGTAGCCATCAGGAGGAGGAGATAACTCAGAGCTGTCCCACATGTCACCAGGCTCCTGCGTTTATAGGCTGTATATTCTGGAGCTGTTGGAATAAGTGACAGGGTACTGGCTGGAGGCTGTGTGGGTCCCAGAGGCTCCCCGCTGAGCCTGCTGTTAGCCCTTGAATCCTGATCCTGGGGGAAGCCCCAGAGGATGCTCCGGTGAGCTCAGGACTTAATTGGTACTGCTGTGTCCCTGCTGCCCTTGGGTGTCAGTCCTGCTGGCACCTTCCTCCCCTGGAGCTGCCTCTACCTCTGGAGCTGATGCAGAAGCTGGTACAGGTGCAGAATCTAGCTCTGCATCTAGTGTTAGAGTTGGTGCTGAAGCTGGCTGTAGCTCAGAACTCGGTGCTGGTACTAGTTCTGGAATTAGTTTTGGAGGTGATTCTAGATCTAGAGCTGATGCTAGAACTATTGCAAGAGCTGGCATAGGAGTTGCTGATACAGCAGTGTCTATCTCTGGAGCTGGTGCCAGGGCTTACTCTAACTCGGGAGCTGATGCAAGATCTGATGCTCAGGTTGGCCCTAGCTCTGTAGCTGGTGCTCGCTTTAGCTCTGGCAAAGGTGGCGGAGCTGGCTCTAGCTCCAGAGATCATGATAGAGCTGATTCTGGAGCTGGCTTCAAATCAGGTGTTGAGGTTGGTGCTGGAGTTGGCTTTAGCTTTAGAATTTGTGCTGAAGCTGGGGCTAGAGCTTAAGCTCCTACGAGCACAGAACTGATGCTAGAGCTGCGGAATTATTAGCAGAGTTGGTGCTGGAGCTGGTTCTCCATGTGGAGCTGGTGCTGGCACGGGTGTTAGAGCTGGCGCTGGCGTGGATGTTAGAGCTGGCAATGCAACTAGCACTGGCTCTGGATCTGCAGGCAGAGGGATGTTCACCAACATGACAACCTTTCCATGCAACTTTCTAAGATATAAAACACCCCATTGCCTTGAAGAGAAGCCCTGGTGCCACATCCCAGGAAGTATTCCCAGACTGAAGTCCAGCACTGAGTGGGCTGAGGCTACTCTGCCCCATTCCGTATGGCCCAGCCTAGCCCCTCCTCACAGCTACCCTCAGTCCTCAGTCCCTAGCCCCTCCTCGCAGCCACCCTCAGTCCCTAGCCCCTCCTTGCAGCCGCCCTCAGTCCTCCTTAGACTCTGGCTTGACCTTGGTGGGCTCCAGGGCTCCAGCCAGAGCCAGGCATGTTAAAGTTGGTGTGGTTCACTGGCATCTTGGAACATAAAGTGTGAACACTGATGGAAACCCTCTGAGACTGATCCAGCCAGGCACCCAGGATGTAGGAGGAGACAGGGAAGCATCACAGGCAGAGGAACCCTCAGGCAGAGGCCGCCAGGGCAGCACCCGTACCCCTCCCCCACAGCCCACACCCACACTGGGAGGCCCAGCCCCTCCATCAAGGAGGGCAAGTCCTCCTGAAGCAGGAAATAAGCAGGCACTCATTTTTCAAGGAGAAGCCAAGGTGAGGCTGGGAGGGCTGCTGTTCACCCACTGGGCCAGCACCCGCCAGCATCTCCCCAGGAAGTGGAGCACCAGAAGAGTCTGTCCTCTCTGGAGCTCACTCCCTGCTTCCGGTTCTAGTCAGGGCTTAGGGGTTCTGAGGTCCTTCTCAGATCCTGTCAGCTTCCAGCAGTGGCAGCAGGAAGCTTGGCGTTTAAGAGGAGAATCACTCAGCTATCCCTTCTAGGTAGTTGGGGCAGAAGCATGGGCCAGGCCCCCAGCTCTGCTGCCCCAGCCCATCCTAGTGAAGGTGGGGCCTTGGTGAGCCCTCGGCAGGTGCACTGGCTCTCACCATTGGTACTATCTAGCACCTACAGGCCCAGCTCAGGTCACATGACCCCTTTAGGGGAAAGCCTTCTCTGAGTCTGGACTGTGGTCACAGAAACTGTGAAGTATTTAATGCTATAAGCCACTAAGTGTGGGGTAAGGTTGTCACACAGTAATATATTACTGTCATTGCAACCAGGCAGGAAACCATAAAACAAAACACATCTTTAAATGTCATCAGGTAGTGGCTCCCTGGGCCCTGGGGTACAGAGCACCAAGCCCGTGGTCTCCAGGGAAAATAAGAGAGACATTGATCCTACCTTCCTCCCTTTTCCTTCTTTTGCCTCCTTCCTCCTTCCCTCCCTCCTTCTTTTCCTTCCATCTGTCCTTCTTCCTCCCTCCCTTTCTCCTAATTCCCCTCCCTTTCTCCTCCCCCCTCGCTCCCTCCCACTTTATTTTCACTACAGTGCATGTTCTTTTCCTTCACATGCATTTGTTTTCTTGCTTTTGTCCATCCACCCCCAAGACTGTTAGCTCCTGGAGGACAGGGACCACCCATGAGGCCCGTACTCAGGGCCTTCCCTGGCCCCTGCACAGGATGAATGCCCAGGGCACAGTAGCTGAATGAGTAAATGAGAGGATTCAGAGCCCCTCCCCACCTCTGAACATTCCAAGATGAATGCTAATGAGAAGTGCTATCTGGTTGGATGCAGGGGTATGCACAGAATAACCCCTGGTGTCCCTGCCTGCTCTCATTACTCCCTTGAGCAGAGTGGGCACAGCCCGCCCCCTGGTGGTCAGTGATGCCTCTGCAGCACAGGCAGAAAACATTAGGTAGCAGCTCTCTGGGCATTGCAGGCAGAAGAGGGAACATGTAGGTTCCAGGGACAATGAGAGGGACCGCAATCTTCCCTTGTCTTCAGTTACCCTCTGCTGGCCTCAGGTGTCCAGTTTACTCACCAAGCCGGCACAATGACCCTGGCCCCACTTCCAAATGAGGACCTCAAGGCTCCAACCAGGATGGTCATGTCCCAGACTCCGTCTAGACTCTTG